TGGCTCACCGGCTGCAGAGAGCTTTGGAAAAGGGGCGATATAGAAATGAAATAAATAACGATAGTAAATAGGAGCAACAATGCTTCTGCTGGAAGGAGGGGCTGAACTTCGGTTTGGCACGTGTCCTACCAATGGATGGGGAATAACGAACACACACATGAGGACAGGGCAGAAGAAGATGAAAAGTAGAGGAGACATTATACCAGGTGTATGGGAATGAAGTCGGGTGAGCAAGGTGACTGCCCCCGACTGTGCCCGAGCAGGTGTCTGGCTTTAAAAATCATTAATTTTATTCATAGATCTATGATTTATTTAAACAGCTGCTCTTTTGCTCAGCTGCAAAGACCTCCCAGAACACAGATGAGTCTTTGAGAGTGCCATTTAATGAATGCAAAGCTGCTTTAAAAAATGGTTTGGCAACCATTGTGAAAGCATCAACTGTCAATATGTGGGCTATGATGACAATCCAATGGTGCTCATAATCATTTGTACCTGGCACACTCGACAGATGTTATCTGGGTCCAACAGCAATTGAAATGAACTGATTGAAGGGGAAGGAATGCAACACAGAGAAAGCATCTTGGCCTGTTGCTTTGCAGCAGTGCATGCTTTGGGGCTACCATTTAGAGTTACATTCTACCTGCTTACCTAGAGTTGCCTTGCACCAGGTCAAGCCATTGATCCATAAACATATTGGTGCATTGTCTTCACTGAGATCCAGTGACTTTGTACTGTGTCAGATTCGTGTATTCCCCTGATCTCCCTGGTGAACCAGGGGAGGCAAACTTGCAGTATTTTGCACCACTGGCCCCATCGTGCATGCCTTGCTGCTGGGACTGATGTGTGTTTTAGTCCACGGCATCTAGAAGATACCAGGGTCCAGATTCTGCTCCCGATTCTAAATTTTTGTGCTAATGGGATTGTCCACTTTCTGTATTTGCATTTAATCCCTGTGCCGAGGGCAGCTTGCCAGGTTGCAGAAGGATTGATCTTGAACATGGGAAAGTGATCTTGTAGTAATGGACTGACACTCGAGCTGCTCACAGCCCCATCTCTGACCTCTGAAATTTCATCCACCAGCAAAGGTGCAGGAAGGAAACCAAAGGGCAGTGTGGTGGAGTTGTGAAGAGTACAGGACTGGGATTCAGCGGATCTCTTCTGCTTCTCTTCCCTGTACTCCTGGCCATGCCTCCATAGCTTTGGATCGTCCTTGGTTATCATTATACTTATTATTTATTCAAGTTCTCTACCACCCCACAGCCAAACTTCTCTGGTTCAGACGGTTTGCCTGTGCATGGCTTTGTATCTGTCTTGGATGTTGCCAGTTTCCCTTGTTGCTTCTGCTTCCTGCCTGCTACCCAACTTCACTAGTTTGATTTGCCCCAGGACCGAACTGGATCAAACCATAACAAGATATGCCTGAATGGATTTTTCATGGAGGCAGCAGCTGGCTGGTAAAGTAACTGTCTCTGCTTTAAAGAATAAACGCAAAGGGAAAGATGGGAAGATCATGAAGCTTACTTGTCCAGTCATCATCATCCCCACATCGGAAAGGTGTATCCCCCGAAATGCCCTGATCTTCACGCACTTGGAAGTGTGAAGTGGGGACACCTGGCTTGCAATGCGCCGTACCCTAAGCTGTTCTTTCTGAGGGTCACAGGGACTGTGTGCCCTCCCTACCAACCCACTCCCAGGACACTCATTCCACCCTCCCTGAAGTCAGAGTCCAAATTTCCTAGGAGTCTTCACCACAAAGCTTTGTTCACTGGCTTGGTGGGGCTTCGAAACACAGAAACAGAGTGAGTCAGAAGGGACCTCCGGGGCCATCTAGTCTGACCCCTGGCTCTGGTCATGACGTGCCTACCGTGTGCATGTCTAGCCTATCCTTGAGCTTAGGGAAGTAGAGGATGGAGCCACAGTTTCAATAGCCGCTTGTACCAATGCCTGTAGCAGACTTTGCTCTTTGCAAACATTGATATGGATTAGCTGGACTTGTACCTCTTGGCCTAAGGTGGAATCTGAGTGGAATTGTGCAGAGTTCATTTACCCAGGTCCTGAGTGTTCCGACACCATTCTTGGCATGCATTCTAAAGCATGTGTTTTGAGAGATGGTGCAAAAATGAGGAAAGACATATGAGGGAAGCTTCAGCCAGAATTCATGGAGCAATTCATTCATCTTTATCTCTTGTTCCCTCGTACGGGTGACTGCCAAAAAGGGTAGTAAGAAGAAACGGCGATTCTCCCCCGACCCCTCCTGCTTCGGCAAATGGATCACACGTTGAGACATGATACAGATTGCAGAATTCGGTGAAATACAAATGTGTGCAGATCATTTTCTTAAGCTATTTTCATATTTGAAAAGAATGGCTAAGTTTTCTTAAGCACTAAGAAGATGGAAAGGATGAGGGTTAAATTAGGTGCAAGCAAAGTTTGGGAACTGCCACACTTCCCAGGTTGTGAGGTGGGGTGTTTGTGAAATATTTGGCTGCACTGAATAGTCATAGACATGCCTACATACCTACAGTCTGATTTGAGAAAAGAGCTCATTAGTTAATGTGATCACTTCTAGATATACGTTCATTTCCCAAATGCAATCAACAAAGTGATATTGTGATTAACTCCCCTTGGCAATATTTAGGGCTGAGATGAAACCCAGCTGGGAACACTTTATGAACACTCCTTCTGAAACACACAAACCTCGTTTTAACTATCATTCTCAAAAGCCGGGAAATGAGGCAGAGTTCTTCAACCATTCAGAGGGCATAAGTACAAGAAACCCCCACTGTGATTTGCCGCTGTGATGTCATCATCTAACTAGCTGCGATTAACTATTTAATGCCCTAATGCCTTCTCTGCAGTCCATGATTGTCTGATGTACCCCAGGAGGAAGGCCCTTTTAAAATGGCACAGGAAAAAAAATGGATTGTGGAGACAGATGAGTGTGAACTGACAGTATATTGGCATGAACCCCCGTGCACACACCAAGATGGTTAAACCAGGCTGGGCTCACAAAAATTCTCCCCTGAACATGCCCATACCACCCACCTTTCAAATTTTCACCTAGGTTTCTAAGCTGAGTGTTTCTTTGCTGAAAAACTGAGAAATGTATTTTAGAAAAGCGCAGAAATAGGAAAGTTTGTCCTTCGTCCTTCCCCCGCACTCGCATCTCTGCCTGCAGCTCCGATGTCTTGATCACACGGTTTGTATTTTCGGTCCAAGGAGGAATACTTTCGTCTCCGCTGATACAGGCACTGCAGCCTGATAATTAGTAGTGCATTCATGTAAACCATCTTGGATTCGATCCCAGGAAGTCACAAGAGTGGACATTTTGCTGTTGCCGCCATTCTTTGGTGGATGTAATGGCAGGTTGATGGAACCACAGAGCACCAGAATACAGCCAGCAGAGCCTTGTCATTCTTCTAAGCTATGCCACGGATACACAGCAGCTGGGGGTTCTGGCTGTGTTTACTATCACACGCCGATTTGAGAGATTGCTTCTGTCGTAGTGTGTGCCTTGCCTTTTGGACAGGACCTGCTTTTCATTTCATGAATGTTCGGCACAGCCTTCCTGTCCCATCCCATCCCATCCCATCCCATCCCATCCCATCCCATCCCATCCCGTCCCCCTCTTGTTCTTTTTTTTCTCTTTTGCCTTTCCCCCTTCCATTATATATAAATAAATGATCACATCCAGGTCCTTGGAGGGAAAGAAACTGAATGGAAAACACATCTCATGAATCTGGGCGGAGTGTAAAATGGAGGTGTGAATGCTAGAAGGGATGGGATTTAGCTGTGTTGTCAGAATGCAAGGATTGTGTATGTTTATTTGATTTTTTTCTGTCTATATTTTCAAAGAAAGTTTCTAGTTGACAATAATAAAAAAAATAAAAACAATTTACAGCACTTGACTAAAATAGGATTCAACCAGATAGATATTAAAATCAGCGATTTAAATACTGGTTAAATAAAAAGATTTTGGTCTGGCGTCGGAAAGAAAGAAGAGCCGGTGGCAGATGAACCTCTTTGGGAGGCATATTCCACAGTTGAGGGGCCACCACTGAGCAGGCCCTTCCCCTTGTAACAGCCCTCCTCCCTTCCTTCGAGAGGGGCTCTCAGGGGAGGACCTCCATAGAAGATGTTTCAGACTGGGCAGGTGAGAGGATGAGGGTTTCCGGTCCTTTTGGATGTTATACCTTGCTCAGTGTCTGATAAAACACAACAGGTTAATAGTCCTTGGGCACAAGGCTACAACTGCCGGATGCCTCCTAGACAGCCTCAGGATAGTTTGGGGCATCAGCTCCAGCCTTGGAGATGGGCCACAGTGCAGGGCCGGGACTGCCAATTCGGAGCACCTTCCCTCTACCTCATAGCCAGCAAAATCCTTCTTGCAGCAGCCACAGGTCCCAAGCTCAGCCTCAGAGCTGGTGTGGAGATGTGCTCCAGGGGGGTACAGAAGGGAGGAACGAGGTGCCACCATTCAAGGAAGAAACATGGTGGTCCCCTCCAGCTCCTCTCCTTGTGTCATCTCAGGGTTATAGCAGGAAGAAGGGGTGCCAATCCTTCTGTCCTTCATCGGACACCCACAATCCTTCAAGTCCAGATCACAGCACTTTGGACGCCACCGCCGTACGCTGAAGCCCAACTCTGGAGACCTGCAGAGAGATTGGTGGCCTCTTTCTTCTCAGCACTTTTACTCTAGCATGGGCGAGAAGAGTGCAGGGTGAAGCAAAGGTCATCCGTCATTAACGGCACCCTCACAAATAGAATGATCCTGAAGATTTCACCTGAGAAACTCAATGGCGTGTTTGATCCCACGTCCTGAACTGACAATGCTTCTATAGCTAATGAAGGTTTAGAGAGTCTATTGGAAGGACTGTGGCTCGTGGATCTTTTTATTCATCAGCAAAATTAAAAAAGTACAGAAGAGGGATAATAAATTGTGGTGTCCTAGGAAGCCTCTTGGGCTAATTAATCTCATTATTCTTTCTTCCTTTCTTTAGGAAATCTTAAAAACAGAAAGCAGCCTTGGAATTGTAAGGCAAAGAAGGTCTATTGTTGCAAGTCCAATCTTAATGGCTGAAAATCAGAGGCCTCCATTTCCAAGATTTGTGGGCAGGGTAAGTCCAGCTTAACAGGATTGCTGTCTCTTAATTTTAGCTACTATTTGCTGAGTTCTCTGGGTGTGTTTCTGATGTGATACTGTGGATTGTTTCTTCCCTGATTCTGGCATTTCTCCCCAGAGTTTGAAGTTCTGAATCACTTGGTTTTGCTTCCAAAGTTAACTCAAAGTGTAAGGAATGCTTATTTTTATTTCATTTACTGTCCAAACTTTGAGCAGCACACTTGGCTTGCTTACTTTACCATTCTTTTCCATGCATCTGTTCCTATTTCCCCTTACATCCCTGCAGAGCACAGGTCTTCCGTGCAAAGGGAAGTGTTGCATAGTGGATAGACTGCTGGAGTGGGGCTTGGGAGAGCTGGTGGCCAGTCTCTGCTGGCTGGATTTGGGCCAGGTACTGACTTGCAGCCTCTCCTACCTCACAGGGTTGTTGCAAGGATAGATGTTTGTGAAGTCATCAGTGACTGCCTCTGATGCGCTGCAGCAGATGATGTCTTCTGCTCTTTGAGAGAGGAATGTTTTTCCTTCCGTTCTCGTTGTGTTGCTGGTTTTTAATCCTCAGTGGTTCCTGACAGCCTTTGTTCGTGGCCCTGTTATATCTTGCCGAGTGTTGGACCCTTCCTCACGTACGCCTCCATTCTCCTTCTGCCTCCATCAGTCATGGTCCTTTTGGTCCAGCTGCTCCTTGTGTCTGAGCCAGACTCTCCTCCTGGAGCTCATGTCTAGGCGGTGTGTGCAGAAGGATTCCCAGACCCTGCAGCTCTCTTTCCTCACCGTGACCTCCTTGCAAAAAGACCTGCTCACACAGAAGAAAGCCAGGTGCAGGGGAAGGGGGCTTCTCCCACCTCCAGTTAGAGCTTGGATAATGATTGTCGGAAAGCAGAAACCCACTTCCCAGCCGCATAGACAAACCTGTGCTAGATGCATCACTGGCAGGACTTTGTATAAGAAATCCCGCCTGGTTTGGGAGAACATACTGGTAGTTCTCTACTGAATAGCCATCTTGAGACTCCGTATAAGAAAACCCACTGGGCTTGCAAGAACTTACTGGTAGTTCTCCACCAAATAGCCACCTTGAGACTCTGTGTAAGAAAACCCACTGGGTTCACAAGCACATACTGGTAGTTCTCCATCAAATAGCCACCTTGAGATTCTGTGTAAGAAAACCCATTGGGTTCACAAGAACATACTGTTCTCCACCAAATAGCCACCTTGAGACTCTGTGTAAGAAAACCCACTGGTTTGCGAGAACATACTGGTAGTCCTGAACAGAATAGCCATCCTGATGGGGTTGCACAAATGGTTATAGAAGGTACGTTTTTATGTGATGTTATAAGGAGTTATATGTGTAGCTGCGCCTGTGGATAAAACATGTGCCCTAAAACAAACAAACAAACAAAAATGGTGTGATTGAACAAGCTTCCTAATGGGTCTTTAAGGATGCAAAGCAGCTTCTCCAAGCATCTCTGGAACATGTCTCTGTGATGCAGCAGCAGAATTTTAAAAAAAGTCCAACTAAGAAAACTGAAGTCAATATCACGTGCTGCCGTGCTCACAATGCTTCAAGCTCAGGAGTTTGACCTTTTGATGTAGATAGACTTTTTATTATTTGAAAGTATAATTTGGTGGGAAATGTCATTACCACTAGCCCACACAGGTTGCCAATGTCACCATTAAAGTCACCCCAGCATGTGCGTAATGACAACCTGTCGTGAAATTCATGTTTGTAGCACTTGTAGCATCTTTTCGCCTCAAGACATGAGTGCAGAGTTCTTGTGTGTGCAAGAAAGCTCAACAGGTTTGGGGGGGGGGAAGCAAGAAAAAACTGATTATATATACTTAAGTCTTGTAGTAAAACGAAGGTACTTAGAGATGTCCTTTGCATTTTTATGTTACATTTGAAGGGCAATGCACCCTTGCGATGTTTATCAGCAGTTGTGAATTTATCCATACAAACACACACACAAACCCCATTTTTTTTAACAAATTCAGGGAAAGGAATCTTAGGATAGCCTTTCATTTCACAGGACAAACTCAGCTTCTGAATCACAATGCTTATAGGACCAATATTTAAAGCAACAGTGACACAAGCGAATCAGAGGCTGATTCAGAATAAGATAGAAAGAGTGAATTACCATCCAGCAAATGGAAGGTGATGAGGCAGAGAAGCTGGCAAATATAGTTAGCATTTGATTTCTACATAATTCATTCATTCATTCATTCATTCATTTATGGTGGGGCACCCAGCCCTAGACATGCTTAGCTTCAGCACGGTGGATGCCAGGTGTGCCTTCAGATCAGGCTCTGGGCCGCTTAGCATATCTAAGACATGTATCTATGTAGGTGAAATTCATTCCTGTAGTCATGATGGCCCTGTGAGTAAAATGGACTCAAAGTGTGTATGCTCAGAGTAGGGTGTCGTGGTTAGATTGTCAGGCCCCGGCTCACTGGATGACTTTGGGCCAGGTACAGCCTCTTAACCAAACTTCTCTTAGGGAGCTGTAATCATGAGGATAAATAGAGAGGGGGAGAACCTTGTAAGCCCCTTGGGATCCTTGCAAGAGGAAGAAAAGTGGGGTATAAATGTATAACAAGAGCAAAACAAACACAAATAAATGGGGGCAAGAGATGCGCCACTCCACTCATGCAAAAATGTTCCACTACTGGAAACCAAGTTCCAAACCACACACAAGAGGATAATTTATTTAAAGTTACATTTGCAGCCTTGGAGTTGTACAAACATCAGCTGCAGGACTGTCATCAACGGCTTGTTCGTTCCGCAACTGGAGGCACAGTTTGCATGCATGGTTGTGTAAAGAGAACAGGCAAACACTTGTGTGACAGAAAGATTTCAGTGGCATTGTAATAGTTCTGTCAGAGTTCACAAACTGGAACTCCACTGGACATGGATGGGCACCATTGGGCACTGTCCCAACACTAACAAGCACATCTGTTGTCATCTCTACCACATCAAGAAGATGGAAGCCGCTGAAAGATACAGAATGATGGGTGTGAGTGGAGGGACGTGTCTGCTATCTGCTTTGTCACTGAATTAACACACGCGGGCATCTAAAGGGCACCCCCAAAACCGCATGAAGTCCAAGGTTTAAAAGCACCCATCAGCCCCACTAGCTGATCAGGGCAAGTTCAGAAAAAGCGAGCAGAAAGCATGGCCACACCTAAAAATGCTGAAAAAAGCACCTCCCAAAAAAAATCTGTTTTGAAAGGGTAAGGAACAAAGGCCTCATGGATGCCATTTCAGGGGAAATCTGAAGGCGCCATCTTGGGGTTGACTGCAATGGCTTTGCCAATTGGACTGCCGTTACATGGATGTGCCACGTATAACGTTTTGATAATGGGAATATTAGATTTTGATTTATTTCTTCCATGTTGACAGCAATCTCAGAGGAAAGCCAAAGAACAAAAATCCACAGACAAGCCAAGCAGCTCGGGTGTAATAAAAATGTAATATTGAGTGTTATTGAACTTGCTCCCTATCAGGATGAACATGGTTGAGCTGATCAATAAAATGCTATAATGAGTTATAGTCATCAGGTCGGAGTGGGGAAAATGAATTAGCTCTGAGCCTGTATGGTCATTTTCTGAAAAGTTACTTGTCTGGAAAAGCTGCATGCAGGTAATCTGTGTTCCTGTGACAGAAATGCTGTTATGAGTCACTTTTGTGTCAACAAGGAAAAAAGGCAGAAATCGCTTTGTTCCTGCACTTGTGGCAATATGACAAAAAGCTGGGTCTCGGGTTGTTCTGTAATTGGGGCTGGATGTGAACTGCCAGTCGCACATGGACTGCTCCCAGGTGGTATAAGCTGCAGAGAGATGTGGGCCTCGTGACTTCATTGTTTACCCTGCGTTCTCCTATTTCTGCAGTGCATTGCTACCTGGTGCATTGCTGGGAAGCCACTGATCAAGTCTTCTATGGTTCCTCAGTACCACAGTGGTGCATTGCATCATCCGAACCCCCAAAACACAGCCTCTTGTGGTACCCAGGGAAGAAACAGGCCGCCACTTGGCAAGAGTGGCCCATTGCTGATTTTGCCAGGTGTCTAGTCAGAGAAGGCCACCGGCAGCCACCGTTTAGTGTGACTGTCCAAAGCGTCTCGCTCTGCCCTAAAGAGCGGGGAAGGAGGCGGGAAGACCAGGCAATCAACTCAACACTAAAAGGAGTTGCACGGCTCCATTACTTCCCTTCTCTCCTTCTCACACTCCAGCCAGAGGGGGAAGAATCAGCAGGGTAGCAGTGCCCAGTTGGGGGCTTGTCACCTCGGCAGAATCCCTCGCCACCTCTCATTTCACTCCTGCCTGCAAAGAGGGATCCTGAACCTACTGCCTGTGAAGCAGGCATTGCGTTCTGAGTGTCTCTCTGGCAAGCAGGAGCAATAAAGAGGGAAGGCCCTTCTCCATGAGTGCCATGGGAGGCAACAGCGATCGCGGAAGGAAGTTGGCCACCAGGAATGGCGGCTGGGAAAATTTGCCAGTTGAACATCCGGGGCTCTGCGATGGAGCTTTTGTGGACCTCCTCTTGACTCAGTTCACTGTGCAGGACCAGGATGAGCCACAGATTCTGGGGAGACGGATTCCCAGTGGGTTTGTTCCACCCCTTGCACTTCAGGACATGAGCCCTGTTTGCACAACAGGGACAGCCGGAGAGCTGCAGTGTGCTGAACGTGGCTCACAAACACGGCTTTGGAAAAGAAGCCCCTTCTTCCTCCCCGTGGCATCTCCTGGGACATCACCTGGAGGACTGAGAGGAGCACAAATGGTGGGATGAAGAAGCGCTGCCACCATGAGCTGGTAGAAAGCAGATGTAATCAGCGTTTCTTTGAGCTCGGTGGTTTGCACATGGAAGGTCCCAGGTTGCACAAAACGAGAAGGAGAAAACTATTGCTACAACTGAGATAGGGTGACAAATATCTCGAGTTGTTATGAGTAGGTCCCCATGTTCCTCGAAGACAAGACAATGTACACTGGCTTTTCTACTCT